GTCATCTTCCATTGCTGCTAAGGCACAATGGTGAGCAGTGCTTGAGAAGAACATGGGAAGCAGGCTAGGCTGCAGACCTATAAGCCAAGCATCACCACCCCACGAGCTAAGTGTGATCTCAGAGATGATCACTGAGCAAGCCCAGGAGGAGGGCTGGTTGACTGTGACCTGAGTTGGGAGGTGGGGAGGGCATATATAACAGACCCACAGCTAGACCTTGAAACACATTGAGGGGCTCACTAGGGGCAGAATTGGGTGAAGAGTGCTTCCAGCAAAGCAGCAATATTAGGGAGCAGCATAATGACACAGCTGACATAGCACCTTCAGAAACTTCTATTAGTAAAGAGGTGGCTTCAGGATAGGGTGACAGGGGTAGAAGATGAGGCTGAACATGGACAGCCTTGAGCACCAGGCCAACCGGGAGCCATGATGGTATTCAGCAGGGGAATGATGGGCTAGATGGGTGTTGTGGACAGGTAACCTGTGGTTACTGGGAAGAGGAGAAAAGTGGAGAGAAGCCAGGTAGAAGCACAGTTGTGCTTCCAGCCTAGATTTCCCCCTTTCCGCCAATCTGTGGGGGAAATGCCCCTCATAGGGGGCATATAGGAGATCTTCACTGCTCTGGAGATGCCACAAAACTTTGAAGGGGAGAGAAGTCAAACTTAAGATTCTGAACTTAGGGACAGGAATGGATGGGGGTGCCATGAGCTCAGTAGGGGAGGTTCTGAACCGGGATGAGGCAGGGGCAGCAGAGGATGAGTTAGTTATGAGTTGCACATTCAGTCTGAGGTGGGTGCACAATTGCAGTTGGTGCTTGTCTAATGGGCAGGTGCAAATGCACTGAGGCTCAGGACTGACAGAAGACAAGGAGGTGAGAAAGCCAGCAGCACTTCCCAAAGAATTAACCAGAAACTGGGGCTGTGGAAACAGCGAGAGAAAGAAGGGAAAGTAGAGTCCCAGAAGCCAAGGAAAGAGGATATTTAAATCAAATGCTGCATGGAGGTCAGGT